GTTGACAGCTGGCTGGGCTGAATATGAGCCTGCAGTGTACCCAGGTGGCCAAGAAGGCCAACGGCATCCTGGCTTGTATCAGTAATAGTGTGGCCAGCAGGAGCAGGGAAGAAATTGTGCCCCTGTACTCGGCCCTGGTGGGGCCGCACCTTGAATACTGTTCAGTGAACAAAAAGTTCAGTTTTGGACCCCTCAGTTCAAGAAGGACATTGAGTTGCTGGAGTGTGTCCAGAGAAGAGCAATGAAGCTGGTGAAGGGTCTGGAGCACAAGTCTCATGAGAAGCAGCTGAGGGAACAGGGCTTATTTAGTCTGGAGAAAAGGAGGCTGAGGAGAGACCTTATCACTCTCTACAAATACCTGAATGGAGGGTGTAGTGAGGTGGGTGTTGGTCTCTTCTTCCAAGTAACAAGCAATAGTGCTTAGGGACATGGTTTAGTGGCGGGATGGCAGGGTTAGGTTAGCAGTTGGACTTGATGATCTTAAAGGTCTTTTCCAACCGAAACGATTCTATGATTCTATAACAAGAGGAAATGGCCTCAAGTTGCATCAGGGGAGGTTTCAATTGGATGTTAGGAAAAATTTCTTTGCTGAAAGAGTGGTCAAATATTGGAACAGGCTGCCCAGAGAGGTGGTGGAGCCACCATCCCTGGAGGTGCTTAAAAAACATGTAGACATGGCACTTCGGCACATGGTTTAGTAGGCATGGTGGTGTTGGGTTGATGGTTGGACTTAGAGGTCTTTTCCAACCTTAATGATTCTATGATTCTATTCTTGGAATTATAAGGTATTCTTATTAAAATGTTGGAGGCAGAGGCATTAAAGAGTAAATCTCCAAATATATCTGTAGAAATGGAATATGTGCATATAGACTGCACAAGAATACATTTGAGAGTTTAGTAAAAATGCAGACTTTTTTCTAAGTAACTATGGACCCAGTATCATCTTGATATTAACAAGCAGAGTTATTTAACGTTCTATATGGCATTTGTAGTTTTCCTCTGTGCCCAGGA